TGTTTCTCATCAGGCACGCCCATGAACTTTTCCCCCCTATAGATCTTGATGCTGATTTCATCTTAAAACTATTCCTCCCAAGCCTCACATTGCATTTACAATGTTGGCAATAGCAAGTTCATAATACGGTGCATGCTGTTTTTATTCTCCTAAGTTCCACTGCAGGCAGCACCAGTAAGTATTTGTTGGATAAATAAAGGCATAAAAGAATTTATTGATTTAAAAAACAGAAAGAAAAATGATCCATGTAACTCAGCTTATCCAGCATCTTATTACCAGCAGGAATTCTGGTTTTTAAATGTGGAAACAAGTATTTTCATTAGGCAAGTTCATAAAACACATGAAAATATTGTTAAAGGATTTAAAAAATAAAAGGAGCAGGAAGAGCTCTGAAACACAATGGAAAAGCATAAACCATTTTCAAATGATTTCCAGACACAAGAACATGGAACATTCCTTGCTGAAACAATGGCGTGAAGGAAAGGAGACAAACATAGTTTTCAAAAGAAGAAAATAGCCAAGGCAAAGACTGGCTGTAAGGGCAGGGATGGGACAAGGCGCAGGGGCGGTTAGGTTGGGCCAGGAGAAGGCTCAATCACACAGAAGTGGTTCCCATATACCTCTGGAGCTCAAGGTGCAGGAAGGAAGACGAGACATGACTGTAGGAAGTCACATCATGGCCGGTCCTAATGCTCCCTCCCATTTGTAGCTCATCACAGCCCTAGCAACCACCGCTTTGCAGGTTGTTCATCGAGCAGTCCCTAGGGAAGGGGAAGTGGCCCATCTCTCACCTGTCTAGACCTCAGAGAAATGGATCCTGCGATGGTGGAAGCTAGGGATGGAGGCACTAGCATTGTGAGTCCTGCCCCAACACTCCCACATGTGCGACCTTGGGCAAGCAACTTAATCTCTCCATGCTGTACTTTCCCCATCTCTAAAACAAAAATACTATGACCACAACAACTACTAGTAATAATAAAATAAGGACCAGCATTGTAGGTTAAGCCTCTGCCTATACTTCTGGCATCCCATGGACCACCAGTTGAAGTTCTGGCTGCTCTGCTTTCCATCCAGATCCCTGCTAATGGCCTGGGAAAGCAGAAGATGTCCCTAGTCCTTGAGCCCACATGGGAGACCTGGAGGAGGCTTCTGGCTTTGTATCAGCCTAGTTCCGGCTTTTGTGGCCATTTAGGAAACGAACCAGTGGCTGGAAGATCTTTCTCTCTGTGTCTTTCCTCCTCTCTCCTGCCTTTCAAATAAAAATAAATAGCTACAATAACAATAGTAATAGTATCTATTGGAGGGAGGATCACATGAGAGTCACACAAGAGGGTGCTTGGGTAGCATGGTGACAGCTCAGAGGATGGCACGCTCTTTCAGGATTGCAGATCGCCTCCACCAAGTCACCCTCCCTGCCAAGGGGCACCAAGGGGCACAGGAAGACAGGAATGGCCCTGAAGTCTCAGTGTGGATAATGAGCAACTCTTGTTATTCCATGGATTTCATGCTCACACCGTGGGGGCAGGCTGCCCTCACACCTCGGCAGCTGCTGTGGCCAGGCAGCAGTCACAGTACAGCTACAGAGAATAAGGGGACAGTCTGGGAACATTCGTGTCTCCAGGGTTTCTAGAACAATGGATAACCAGGCACATGCAGGATGTGCTCCCACACCAGGAGCCTCCTGCATTTTCAAGCCTAGCTTGCTGGTGCTTAAGCCTGTTCCAGGTCTAGGAGGGGACTTTTTCAGGGGGCAGGAGAGAGCTGGCACAGCCATCTGCAACCTAAAGGAACACTTCTGATTGCAAGTCTTGCAGTACACTGCAATGGAAGGGACGCACCCCAGCCATGTGTCTCATTGGGCCATACCCACATCTCCAAGTCCCACACAGAGGGAGCAGCCGGCTCCAGGAGCAAGGGAGGTAGGTGTGGTGTTGAGGGGAGGGAGGGCTGTGTGGTCCCGCACACCCTCTGGGCTTCTGGGGTTTCCTGTATGTGTTGGGGGCTGGGATCACTTGAACCTGAGTGGCTGACAGGGTGGGGGGGCGGCTGGCAGACACCCAAGCAGACCACAGGCCACGGTGTGCTGGGACCTTGAGAGACTTAGGAAGAAAAAGGGTCTGAAGGGCCTCTTTCTTTCTTAAGATTTATTTTATTTTTATTTGAAAGTCAGATATACAGAGAGGAGGAGAGATAGGAAGATCTTCTGTCCAATGACTCACTACCCCACAAGGCCGCAACGGACGGAGCCGGAGGTGAGTCAATCTGAAACCAGGAGCCAGGAGTCTTTTCTGGGTCTCCCAAGTGGGTGCAGTGTCCCAAGGCTTTGAGCCACCCTCCGTTGCCTTCCCAGACCACAAGCAGGGAACTGTATGGGAAGTGGAGCTGCCGGGATTAGAACCAGCACCCATATGGGATCCTGGAGCATGCAAGGTGAGGACTTTAACAACTAGGGTTCCTGTGCTGGGCCCTCTGGCTCTGCTCTTAAAATATGTTTAATTTTTAACAATTCTTTTTATTGTGTTTTTTTCCATGATACAGTTTTGTAGGTACAGGGACTCTCCCTTTCCCTGCCCTTTCTCTCCTGCTATGCCCTCCTCTGTTATTACAGCAGTACAGTTCTTTAGTAACAGTTACAAGTTTAACATGCTGCTAGTTAAGCACATCATGGAACGGCAGGTATAAGCAAAGCTAGAAAATTCACTCTTATCGCCAAGGTACATTTATCAGTTTCACTGGAAGTCTTCCTTTTATTCAGGAATAGAAATGCCTACTGAAATGTGTCTTCACTTCCTGGTGTGTTGATTTCCGCTACACAGTTCCTCTATGAGAATATATGAACATACTTGTTCATATATATATGTATATGTATCTAAATATTGCATTTTGCATAAAGATTGCCTTATAGCAGAGAGAACATAGAGTATTCATTAAAGTGTATTTAATTTGAAAGACAGAGTGACAGATCTCCCCTCTGCTCGTTCACTCCCTGGCTGGGCCAGGCTGAAGCCAGGAGCCAGGGCGTCCACCCAGGTCACACCCATGAGTGGCAGGGACAGAGCACTCGTGTCATCCCCTGCTTTCTCCCTGAGATAGCTGGAGCTGGTAGCAGAGGAGGGATCCCAAGTCCAGGCCCTCGGATCTGGCATGTGGGTGTCTCACGTGGCATCCTAAACACGGCACCGAAGACCTGCCTCGTCTGCCCGCTCGCCACTCCTAGCTGATCCCGCAGCTTTGTCCGGAGCCCTTGTTCCTGAGTTCACACCTGGGTGTGCAGCAAACAGCCCACTGTGTGTGGAGTGAAGGGACGTTCCAAGTGGACAGTGCGGAGGAGTATGGAAGAGGAGGGTGCATCTGGAAGGCATCTTAGGGCCAGGGGCACGTGTCATGCGGAGGGTGGGGAGAGCTTCAGGAGACGGGAGAAATAAGGCAGAGCGGTGGACGGCACCAGACAGGACAGACAGCTCTTTCCTGGAGAGGCGGTGTATGTCTCTTTAGCAGGACAAGATGAGGTGGGTTTGAGACTGAGGATTGGGGAACTCAGGAAGGAGGGGGACCTCCAGAGCAAGCCCTTGGGGACTGCAGAGTCTGTGGGGGCGGTGGCCTGCTGTGACCTGAGGGCACCTGCTGGGCCCTGTGGAGCAAGTGGAAGATGAGCAGGTACCAGTCACAGGCACTTGTTGCACACAGGGCTGTGTGAGTGGTAGGGTGTGGGGGTCTTGATGATGGCCCCCCCCAACACACACAGGAAGACTGTTAGTTTCTATTAGGGTCAGAGAGAGGAAGATGGTTGGGTGGGGGTCAGAGGTGGAGCAGATGCGGGGACACCAGTGGGTGGGGAAATGGGAAGATGGCAAGGTCTGGAGGAAGCACGGAGCCTGGTGTGCCTAGGGGCGGACAAGGACTCCCCATCCCTCCCCTGTGAGCAGGGCAGCACTGGGGGATGTCCCTACTGCCCTGGTGGAGTGGCAGATCACCAAGAAAGTGGGGGGTTGAGGGCCTGGATGAGGGGAGGTCCATGAGCCTCAGCGGGCAGGGTGGGGACTGCAGCAGGGCCGCCCAAGGGCAGAAGCTGACCCGGTGTGAAGGACAGGACAGGTGTGTGGGCTCAGCCAGGGTCAGCGAAGGCAGGAAGCAGCGGGAGCGAGAAAATGTTCCTCAGGAGGTTTCCGGGAGCATTTGGCGGGGAGCGGGAAAGGCAGGGGGGAAGGGAAAGGCGGCGGAAGTGAGAAGCAGCGCCGGGCCACGAAGGACAGATGGCCGGTGTTTGAGGCGGAGTCTGGCGCGGGATGTGAGGCTAGCGTTGGCCGTTGGCTGGCCTCCAGGTCCCCAGGAGGTCCCTGGCTGAGAACTTACGGGGCGCTGGCCCTAGGCAGGCCCCTAGGCACGGCCGGGGTGTGGACAGGACGCTGTGCTGTGATCTGCTCCATGCAGAGGTCTAGATGACCTTGAACCCTCCAGAGTCCTCCTGCGGCCCTGGCTGGCCTGGGAGGGGTCCACCCAAGGATGCCTTCGCTATCCAGCAGAAATTCCATATTTTTGGGGGGCTGGGGAGCTTCGCGGCCCGTCCGACTCTGCCGCCAGAGGGCGCCCTGGGCCGGCGGGCAGTCGGAGGTCCGTCGCGGGTCCAGCCCCAGAGCTGGGCAAGCCGGCGGGGCGGGGCGGGGGGCGGTTGCGGGGCGGGGGCAGGAGCCCGAGGGGCGGGGCCGGCACCCGCGTCCCCCCCTCTACTCCCCGCCTTTCTTTCTTTCTCTTCTTCTCGCTCTCTCGTCTTTTCTTTGCCTCTGCTGCCGGCCGGAGGGGCGGTCCTTGCAGTCTTTGTTGCCGGCGGACCGACCGAGCGCAGCAGCCCGCCGGGCCCGAGTCGGAGCCGGGGACACTGAGGCGCGGCAACGCAGGCGGGGCCCGGTATGTCCTGAGCCGAACCGGGGACCGGGCAGCCACCGGACGGGACGGACGAGAGCGCGTGCGTGGGGTCGCCCGGCGGCCGCCCGGCCCCGGCCATGCCCGGCGGCCCGAGTCCCCGCCGCCCCGCGCCGCCTCTGCGCCCACTGCTGCTGTTCCTCTGCGCCCTGGCGCACGGCGCCTCCGGACTCGCACCAGGTGGGTGGCCGCCCCTTCTCGGCCTCGGGGTAGCCCCCTCTTACCCCTGCAGACCCCGCGCTGCTCTCGACCTGGAGCCGCTAGTGGCATTCCCGCTTCCCGCTGCCCTCTCGCTTAGGGGATCGGCGGGCGGTCGGGCGGGCCGGGGAGCAAACCTGCCCAAGACCCAGACTTGGTTGTCGACCATGCCTGTGGCCTGGAAGAAGCCTCCTGCGCTCTGCCTGCTCGCACTTGGCCGGCGGGTGCAGCAATGCGCGCCCCTCTGCGGTCCCGCGCGCGCTGGACGCAGCGCCGTTGGCCCGACTTCTCGCCCTCTGGGTGCACAGAGCCCCGAGCGCGGGCTGCCCAGGGCGCTGCCCGCTGGGGCCACACGCCGAGGTCCAGGGCGCGCCCGGGACCCCGAACCCACCGGGCCGGGCCCTCGGCGGCGGCGCGGGGGGCCGGGTCTCGCGCAGCGCTTGCACTTCCTGCCTGTTCCCTCCCCCCGAAGTGTGAAGGCGCCGGGAATGGAGCGCGGGGGCCGGAGCGTCTTTCCGCGGCCCCGGGTTAACTCTCTCAGCCCCGGTGGACCGGCTTCCACACCACGATCCCGTGGCACGCATCCAGACTGCTGCTGCCGGCGCGACGGCGAGCCTGGAAATACACTCAGAGGAGCCCAGGGGGGCAGTGGGGATGGGTCGGATGGTCCGGTACGGAGAACCCCTGAGGGCGAGGCCATCGGAAGGTTTGGTAGGGGAGGAAGAGCGTGAGCCGGCTAGCGCAGGAAGGATGCACGAATTCCGAATTCCGCCGAGGGGGGAGGGGGTAGTAGGGTGTGCGGGCGTCCCCGGGGCAACCTCAGCCCAGGAGATTCGGTTGCTGAGCACGGCAAGGGGTGGGAATGGGCTTGTGTGTGGCTTATGCGTCTCAAAATCGCCCGGGCTGGATGGACGAGGGCGTGTCCACCAGAGTCGGGATGGAAACTGGCTGGAAAGGAGAGGGAACCGGGTTTAATGGGCACGTGCTGGATGCCAGCCTCACTCGTTTCTTGGGCTTTCGCCACCACCCTGCAAGGCATGTGATGGACTGGTCCGGTATGGGAACTGCGGGATCGGGTGGGCAGGTGGCAAAAAGTCTGGGTTTCCTTCCTCCACCCCCCACCCCAGAAGTGGGCACTTCTGGGTGAGCCAGGTGATGCAAGTGAGGGAGCAGGGACGTGGTCTCGGAACTTGGGTGGCCACTGGGAGAAAAATGTGGGAGGTGGTGGACCACAGGGGTGTCTGTCACTTGCTTGGTGCCCTGCAATGGACTTGATTCCCACGAGCTGGCCGGGCAGACCCAGAAGGAGGAAAGATAGATTGTGCCACTTGTAACTGCTGGGTTTTTATGTGGGGTGGGTAGAAACCAGCCAGGGACCTCCTTCGGTGGTCCCTCTGTCACTGTCTTCAGAGCGCAGGAACTGAACCCTCCATCCTTACCACTGAATGCTGCTGTCTTTGAGACCAGAAGGCATAGCCGCGGGTCGCTTCCTGGGGCACATATAGCCTGGGCTTTTCCCCACCAGGGACTTGCTGGGACCCGGTGATGACTCGACTCGCCTGCCCCCTATGTGGCCTTGCACGCAGGCACTCTGTGTACATGCCAGCGGCTGGCACAGGGAACACGCCACACAAACGCACACACCACCCCAGTTTATTTCTCCTCTGTGGTGTGAGCTGCAGGTCTTTTGAAGTTCTGGTCTATAACTCGGGTTCTTGATAGATTGAAGTAAAGGCCACACTGACATCTCTCTGGGAGAAACTCCAACATGGCAGTTCTGTCGCTCAGAGATGATATCCCAAGTATTTACTGCATGGTGTGACAGGAGCCAAATCCAGCCAGAGGAAATTTGCCCGGGCTCCGCCAAGCAGTCCTGCTTTAGCCCTGTCCACACCAAACTGAAACATGCAATTATCACGTGAAACTAGCAGGGTGGGTTTTTTGGGGGCCACCCAGATTTCAGCCACCCAGGTCTCTACCCTTGCCATCTACAAACAGCTGAGATTTGCTTGTATTTTTTAAAAAAAACATTTATTTATTTTTATTACAAAGTCAGATATATAGAGAGGAGAGACAGAGAGGAAGATCTTCCGTCCAATGATTCACGCCCCAAGCGGCCACAATGGCTAGAGCTGAGCCAATCTGAAGCCAGAAGCAGGAGTTTCTTCCCGGTCTTCCCCGTGGGTGCAGGGTCCCAAGGCTTTGGGCCGTCCTCGGCGGCTTTCCCAGGCCACAAGCAGGGAGCTGGATGGGAAGTGGGACCGTCGAGACTAGATCTGGCACATGTATGGTATCCCGGCTCGTTCAAGGTGAGGACTTTAGATGCTAGGCCACCGTGCTGGGTCCGATTTGCTTGTATTTTAGCTCAATCCTCTGTGGAAATATTTTGATGGCAAAACAGGTGTCCACTCTGAAAGTTAACATAGAACAAAGCAAAATATGAGGGCCTGGAACGGTAGCCAGGTAGCTAAAGTTCTCACCTTGCGTGCATTCCTCACCTTGGCTCAGCATTCCCACACAGCAGCCGCTCCTTGGTGCATCCCTGCGCTGTTCTAGGGTGTCGCGAGAGCCTCAGGCTCGCGTCTCCATGGGGAGGGCCAGTTCCTGGACTTGGGAGACCTCCATAGGTCATGTTGGACAAGGCAAGGAATCACAGAAACAGATGAGATTGGGGCAGAGGTGGGATGGCACCTGTTGGTCCCTCTCTTTCTCTGACCTTCCGATTCCTGTAAGAGACTCTAACCTTCAGCCAGGGAAAGCCACAGGAGCAGCACTGAGTCGCAGCAGTGGAAAAGGGTGGAGGGATGTGCCCCAGGGAGCACAGCCCTCTCATGGGGACCTGGCTGGGTGGCTGCGCTGGTGCCAGGTGGCAGGAAGGCCCGGACGGGGGTGGCAGGAGCTTTGGAGGGACATATCCACATGCTACAGCAGTGTGAGCCACTGATCAAAATGCTTTCCGATATCTATACCAGCCAAAGCAAGCAAACAAACAGTGACAAACTGACCCCCACACGTCCGTCCGCAGGCGGAGCTGGTGCTGGGCTAATCTCCAATGCCCTTATTAGGGTATCCGGGCAAGGAAGTCTCCTTCAAGCATGTAGCCCGCCAGCTTCTGAGTATCCGTCCCTCTCGTGTCCTCCTCCACCCCTGCCCTGTCCCCTGCATGGTCCCATCAGGAAAATGACTGAGAGTACGGTGGTGCCCACTCCCCAGCCCTGGCCACCTGCTGTTTTTCAGAGCTGTGCAGGTACTGCTCATGATTGACCAAGGTCACTCCCCGGGGGATTTCCCAGCCTCCCCAGGGCCCTGACTTAGTCCCGTTTCCTGGAGATGCTGAGTCAGTGAGTCCCGACAGCAGGCCTGGGAACTTGTTTTGAAGAAATTCTGTGGGTTTGTTTGTTTGCTTGTTTTAATAATAGTTTTTCTTTGCATTTTATGTGTAAGGCAGACAGAGCCTTGCATCTACTGATTCATTCCTTCTTTGCCTGTCACAGCTGGGGCAGAGTTGGGCAGAAGCCTGGATCTCAGTCCACGCTTCCATCATGGGTGGCAGGGACTCATGTCTAAGCCATCGTCCCCTGCTGCTTCCGGTGTACACATTACCAGGAAGCTGGGTTGGAAGTGGAAGAGCCAGGACTCGAACCAGGAACTCTAATACAGGAGATGGGTGTCCCAAGTAGTGATGTAACCACTGTGACAAATGCTTGCTCCTTTAAGGGGTTCTTATTCAGTCTGGAATGTTTTTGCATTCATGCCTCCCCTGTTCCCCTCAATGATGGGGGGACTTGCCCAGTGCTGGGCAGAGTCTGCCCAGCCAACGTGGCTTATGGCTCCTAGAGACAGCCCTTTGTGACCTGCACTGCTGGGGCAGTGGTGGGCACAGTGCAGTGTCCCAGACGGAGCCATAACTCAGTCACCACTTCCCACATGGGTTAACGGGGGCCTAAAGACTGGAGCCACCCACCATTTGCTGCCTCTCAGGCCGCACATTCACAGGGAGCTAGCATCCAGAGTGGTGACTTCATTGCTGTGCCAGGTGCCTGCTGCAGGTACCCTGAAGTAGAGTCTGCACTTGCTATAGCTTCAACCTTAACTAGAGCAGGTGCAGCAGTCGTGTGCTAAGCGGGTGACTGCCCGGTTCAAGTCCTGGCTACTCTGCTCCCAATATAGCTTTTGACTAATGCATAGTCTGGGAGGCAGCAGGGGATGGTCCAAGCACTTGGGTCCCTGCCACCCATGTGGGAGATGGAGACTGAGTTACAAACTCCATAGTTCAACTGTGCCAGGCACCTTGGGGTTGAACCAGTGGGCAGAAAAATCTGCCTCTGTTTCAAAATAAAAGGAGAAGGGCCCGGAGCAAAGGCTCGATGGCTAAATGCTCAGCTTGCAAGCACCAGGTCCCCATATGGGCGCTGATTCATGACCCAGCTGCTCCACTTCCCATCCAGCTCCCTGCTTGTGGCCTGGGAAAGCAGTCGAGGACGGCCCAAAGCCTTGGGACCCTGCACCAGCATGGAAGACCCGGGAGAAGCTCCTAGCTCCTGGCTTTGGATGTCAGCTTTGGCTATTGTGGCAACTTGTGGAATGAACCAGTAGATGGAAGATGTTTCTCTCTGTCTCTCCATAAATCTGATCTGTATTTCCAATAAAAATAAATCATTTTTTAAATAAATTTTTTTAAAAAAGATAAATAAAAGGAAAAAGCAAAGGATGACCTGAAAATCACTATGGTTGGTACCTTTGTCTTTCTATCTTTTTATTTTTTAATATTTACTTTTATTGGGAAGTCAGATATACAGAGAGGAAGATCTTCCATCTGCTGATTCACTCCCCAAGTGGCAGCAATGGCTGGAGCTGAGCTGATCCAGAGCCAGGAGCTTCTTCTGGGTCTGCTATGCAGGTACAGGGTCCCAAGGCTTTGGGCCGTCCTTGTCTGCTTTCCCAGGCCACAAGCAGGGAGCTGGATGGGAAATGGTGATAGGCAGGACACAAACTGGCATCTGTGTTGAATGCTGGCAGCACCACAGACAGAGGCTTAGCTTACCACACCACAGTACTGGCCCCAATAATTATCAGTATAACCAATTTCCTTGGTGTTCCTATGTGCTTTATTGTGTGCATTTAAAAATATTATTTTGAGGATGGCTTAGTCGGCTCCTAAACTGGAGTGCCAGTTTGAGTCCCAGCTACTCCACTTTCTGATTCCGTTCTGCTCACGTACCTGGAAAAAGCAGTAGAGGATGGATGTCCATGTGGGAGGACTGGATGGAGTTTCTAGACCCTGCCTTTGGCCTGGCCCACCCCTGCCTATTGCAGGTGTTTGAGGAGTGAGTCAGTGGATGGATGATCTTACTGTGTCCCCTTCTTTTGTTGCTCTCTCTTTTCAAATAAATAAAATTTCAAAAAGTTACTTTGGGAAGGGTCCGTATCCCTGGATAAGTACGAAGCAGAAAGGCCCTGGGTTCCAGGCACCTCTGTCTGCGGCAGCTTAGCTCCTTTAGTCCTCAGCCCGCCTCCTGAGCCAAAGTTCCTGTACTGTACCCGTTCCGTACCGAGAAACGGCCAAATGCAGACACTTCTCCTGGCCTCTCAACGTCTCTTGTAGAGGAGACTAAGATCCTTGCTCTCCTGGGGTCTACGTGGGGAGGAGAAAGGAAAACACATGTAGAAAAATCAGGGGAATGTTAAGTGATACCGTATGTTAGACCACTGTGTGAAGAGGGTGGGGGAGCCTGGGAGTTGGACTTTTTAAGATTTATTTTATTTTTATTGGAAAGAGGCAGAGAGGAAGATCTTCTATCCATTGATTCACTCCCCAAGTGACCACACCGGCCAGAGCTGAGCTGATCTGAAGCCAGGAGTCAGGAGCCTCCTCCCATGCAGGTGCAGGGAGGCATAGCATCGGCCGTTGGGCTCACTTGGGGAGTGAATCATCAGATGGAAGATCTTCCTCTCTGTCTCTCCTCCTCTATATATATCTGACTTTCTATAAATAAATAAATCTTAAAAAAAAAAAAGAAATGAACTCTTCCCATCTCATTTCTAAAAAAAACAACAACAACAAAAAAAAACATTGCCCCCTCTTGTGGGGTGGGAATTGGGGTAGGGGGTATCTCAGACCCTACATAATTGTATCAGAAAATTCAAAATTGAAAAAAAAAATGCCCCCTCTTTAAATGGAGAGGTGAAGATTCAGAGCCCCAAGAGCCTGGCTCTGTCGGGGTTCCCACGTGGGTGGGAGGCACCCAACAGGCTGAGCCATCACTACTGCCCCCCAGGTTCTGTCTAAATAGGGGTGTGTTAAACCACAGTGCCTGCCACTGGACTGAGACTGGCTTGGAGCGAATTCTGATTTCTGTGCTCAGGGTGGTGAGATTGGGGCGAGGGAGGGAAGTTACGACAGGGTAGCGGAAGGGGACAAGAGTGGAAGCAGAGACACCTGTAAATTTACGAGTGGTGACGTGGCAGGGCAAATAGCGCTGAGGATTTCAATTCATAACACTTTGATCCCCAGCTGCCAGCAGGACCCCGAGTCTGTCCCTGAGCCACACGCTGCCCCTGTCTATCTTCCCGCAGAGCCCACAACCGAGGGCAGGGCGGCGCTGGACATCGTGCACCCGGTGCGCGTGGACGCGGGCGGTTCCTTCTTGTCCTACGAGCTGTGGCCGCGTGCTCTGCGCAAGCGTGACGTGTCCGACTCATCCGGACGCCGCGCCGTGCCCACCTTCTACGAGCTGCAGTACCGCGGGCGCGAGCTGCGCTTCAACCTGACCGCTAACCCGCACCTGCTGGCGCCCGGCTTCGTGAGCGAGACGCGCCGGCGTGGAGGCCTGCAGCGCGCGCACATCCGTGCCCATGCCCCTGCCTGCCACCTGCTGGGAGAGGTGCAGGACCCGGAGCTGGAGGGCGGCCTGGCAGCCATCAGCGCCTGCGACGGCCTGGTGCGTGCCACCGTGTGTGTGTGTGTGTGTGTGTGTGTGTGTGTGTGTGTGTGTGTGTGTGTGTGAGATGGGGATCTGTGTTCTCAGCCTTACCCTGCAGATACACTTTAGGGCTTGGCAGGGGCGCCTCACCGCCCGAGTGTGCCTTCTGGCTTAAAGTTGGTTCTGGAGGCTGTCTGCGGCCCGGTGGGCTCCCCTGCCCATGTGCTGGACATGGCTGCTCCTGTGACGATGGGATAAGGCACTTCACCCCTACCACCTTTGGCCTCTCTGCTTAGAGAGTGGGGCTTGGGAGGCCTGAGGGGTGTGAATGGTGTACTCCCAGCAACCCCCCCCCCCACACACACACACACAAGACGCCTGGGAGGGGCACGGTGGCCAAAGATGGGCAGTGTGCAAAAGAGGTGGGACTGGGCCTCGGCTACCACACCCTGTCATCCGGGTGATGCCAGCTTGGGCACAGATCCATGACTCAGATGTCTTGGGGTGGGAGGGTGGAGCAGCATCCTGGGGAGAAAGGACATGGCCCCTGGGGCTCCACTCCGAAGCCAGCAGCAGGCACTGAGTGAGTGAGGGCCAACAAGGGGCAGGCCTGGCAGGGTAGGCAGACAGAGAGCAAGCCCCGTGCTTGCATCTGTGTGACCTGGTGCTCCCCCCGACTCCCCAGCAAGGTGTGTTCCGGCTCTCACAGGAGGACTACTTCATTGAGCCACTGCCTGGGGCCCCAGTCCGACCTGGCCGTGCCCAGCCCCATGTGGTGTACAAGCGCCAAGCTCCCAAGAAGCGGGCCGTGCCCAGTGACTCCCAGGCTCCAAGCACCTGTGGTGTGCAAGGTGAGTTACTTTGTTTTCAGCTCTGGGGTAGGAGAAAGAGAGACAGGTCATCCATCCACTGACTCACTCCCCAAATGCCTGTGTCCAGGCTGAAGATAGGAACTAGTTGGACAGGTCACATAGTGCAGGTTTGGGGTAGAGCCAGGAAGTGGGGAAGCTAGATCACTTCCTGTGGTCCCATGGCCAGAGGTGGTCCCCAAGCTCATTGGGGAGGGTCCTGGAGCCGTTCCTGGGCCAAGCTACTTATAGCTGACCCCCGTTCCCCCACACCTGACAGCATCCCCAGAGACGGAGCCCCGACGGGAGCGATGGGAGCAGCGGCAGCAGTGGTGGCGGCAGCGGCCGAGGCGCCTGCACCAGCGCTCGGTCAGTAAGGAGAAGTGGGTGGAGACCCTGGTGGTGGCTGATGCCAAGATGGTGGAGTACCACGGTCAGCCGCAGGTGGAGCGCTACGTGCTGACCATCATGAACATGGTGAGGCCTGGGCTGGAGGGCAGGTGCGGGTTCAGGGCCAAGCGCCGAGCTCCTGAGCGTCCAGGAACGGATGCAGGATGAGGCAGCTCAGGCAAGCATTGGATGTGTCACCCCGCCTAGCTGGCTCAACTGGTGTTTTTTGAGATGGGGAGTTTGTAGACAAGCTCCCTCGTCTATCTTAGGGCCTACGCCATGTCGGATGGGCCCTTCCTGGGACATGCACACACCTCGGAGCTCCAAGGATCTGCTCCGTGTTGTGGTCCCCTCTGCTTGGTGACACAGGGCAAGCCGCTTAGGTAGGATGGCAGATGTACCTTGCAGGGCCGTGAGTCTCTGGACCCCCGGGTGAGTGGCTTGCCCAGGTCATGAGAAGAGGCAAGGCTTTGGTCCCAGTGGGAGCCCAAGTGTCCCAGGTGTCCCTGGGTAATGTTGGAGGTGGGGGTGACAGTGTGGCTGAGAGGGACTGGCGATTCCCAGAGTTGACTCTGGAGCCAGACTCCCACCCTGGCTGGGCAGGTGTGAGTCCCCAGGCTGTGCAGTTGCTTCCCTCAGCCTCGTGGAAGCCTATGACAGACCAACTCCTGGCAAGCAGGACGGTCAAGGGCACCGTGAGGGGTGTGATGGTGCCAGTCACCTGCTTGTAACCCTAAAGGAAGTCCCCTCTGCGACCCTTGCAGTGAATGGGTAGTCAAGGGGCTGGGAGGGAGAGAAGGGCTGCTCGCCACCTGCTAGGCCATTTCTTCCCCAACTTGGCCATGACCCCTGCCGGCTCCAGACTCTGATGGAGTAAAACCCATAGCCTCTGGCCTGGCATTGGAGACCTCCAACATCACTGGCCAGGAGGGACCCTCCGGTGGCTTGGCTTCTGCGTGGGAGCTGTTGCTGAACTGCAGGGTCATGACCAAGTGCACAGGCCCCAAGGTCCTCTCCTTCTAGCCCTCATCCCTTGGGGAAGGAGGGGGCGGGTGGGGGGAGCTCAATCTGCAGGACCAGGCACTTGGCAGAAGCTGCCCAGGGCATCTCTCACCTGTTTTTCAAGTGTCCTGGGTAGAGTATGACCCACACAGCACCCCCTGGGCAACAGGGGTCAGGCCTCTTGCTCCAACGCCTGGCTTCTCCCTGCCTTTTCTGTTCTAGACCCTCACTTGCACACACGGGTTTTTACCTGCCGGACAATCCTGGGCCCTGGTCAGGGCCTGGTTTTTATTGCCAGCCTGCTCAGCGTTCATAAGCACTCCCTGTGCTGGGCCAGATCAGCATTGGTGACAAGGGCGCCCCCTGCTGGGCAAAGTCGGAGTCTGCTGCTGCAGCCCCTGGCCTTGCACAGCCCCCCTCCCCGCCCTGCCACCCCCAGCCAGGCTTACTTCCTGTTCACCAGTGGCCCCTGGGAGTCACATTGGGCTCTGAGTGTCAGTGCTCAGGCAGCTGGCCGTCTGCAGAGCAGCGAGACAGGTGCCCAGCAAGCTGTGGCCGGCCCCCCAGTTGTCCTTGTGCTCTCTGAGGTCCCAGGCCTTTTTAGGGGAGCTCCTGTTCTACTGTCAGCTCACTGACACCACCTCCCCCTCTCCTGCACTTTTTGCCAACACTGCCCCTCCTGGCCTTGGGCCAGCACCAGAATGGGATTCAACTTCCCCAGATGTCACTGACCTCAGCCATTAGTGAACAACCTCTGGGGGCACTGGCCAACCTCGGGTGATTCTGCCTCCCTCTGGGGTCTCCTAGGTACCTCCTGGCTTTTGTTTTCCCTGGAGAATTGAGGGAAAAGCTTATGGGGGTGCTAAACTGTCCTTAACCTTGAGTGCTGTGGGTTAGGAGTTCAGCGGGTCTTTATTTTTTAAAATGTTTATTTATTATTATTGGAAAGGCAGGTTTATAAAGAGGACAGATGGAGAGAAAGATCTTCCAACCACTGGTTCATTCCCCAAATGACCGAAATGGTAGAGCCATTCTAAAGCCAAGAGCCAGGAACCAGCAGCTTCTTCTGGGTCTCCCACATGGGTGCAGTGTCTCAAGGATTTAAGCCATCCTCCACTGCTTTCCCAGGACATAATCAGAGGGCTGAATTGGAAGTGGCGCAGCCAGAACTTGAACTGGTGCCCATATGGGATACTGGCGCCTCAGGTAGAGGCTTAGCCTACTATGTCACATTGCCAACCACAGGTCTTTTTAAATTGAATTTAATTTTTTAAAGGTTTATTATTTTTGGAAAGTCAGAATTACAGAGAAAAGGAGAGACAAAGATTTTTCATCCACTGATTCACTTCCTAAGCAGCCACAATGGCTGGAACTGAGCCAATTCCAAGCCAGGAGCCAGGAGCTTCTGGGTCTCCCACATGGGTACAAGGTCCCAAGGCTTTGGGCCATCCTTGACTGATTTCTCAGGCCACAAGCAGGAAGCTGGAAGGGAAGTAGAGTATCTGGGACACAAACCAGAGCCCATATAGGATCTCGGCGCATGTAAGGCAAGGACTTTAGCTAATGAGCTACTGCGCTAGGCTCCCTCAGGTCTTTTTTTATTCTTATTATTTTTTTTTAAGATTTATTTATTTTTATTGCAAAGTCAGATATACACAAAGGAGGAGAGAGATAGAGAGGAAGATCTTCCGTCCACTGATTCACTCGCCGAGCGGCCACAATGGCTGGAGCTGTGCCAATCCGAAGCTAGGAGCCTCTTCTGGGTCTCCCACATGAGTGCAGAGTCCCAGGGCTTTGAGCCGTCCTTGACTGCTTTCCCAGGCCACAAGCACGGAGCTGTATGGGAAGTGGAGCTGCTGGGATTAGAACCGGCGCCCATGTGGGATTCCGGCATGTTTAAAGCGAGGACTTTAGCCACGAGGCCACCGTGCTGGGCCCCTTTATTCTTACTTTTTATTTGTGTCATTTATTTGCGAGACAGTGAGTGGGAGTATCCATCTGCTGGTCCACTTTTCAGATGGCTACAATAGTTGGGGTTGGGTTGTGCCCAAAGCTGGCCCAAAGCCGGGAACCTTCCTATACAGCCTGGTCTCCCATGTGGGTGGCAGAAGTGCAGTCGTGTGAACCATCACTGTTCCTGTCTGTCCCCATGGGTGCCTCCCTGGATCTGCACTAGCATGAAGCTGGAGTAGGGAGTTGGGACTCAAACCCGGTGACATGGATGTGTGACTCAGACTCTCTTATCACTGGGCCAAGCACCTGCCCCTTATCCTCAGGCGTATTTCCTCTTGCTGCTGAAGCTGATGCCAAGTTCAGTTGTCCATCCCTACCCAGATGGGGTGTCCCCTGATGGGTTTGGAAGAGGAAAGCCAGGATATAAACCGGTGCCCAAATGGGATGCTGATGTCGCAGGTGGTGGCTTTGCATGCTGTGTCACAGCATGGCTCCTGGCCTCTGCTTGTTCTAAGGACTTCCCGGGCCCCTTCCATCTCTGGGGGTGGGTGGTTCAGTAAGGAGCCCCCAAGTGGCCTTCCCTGGAAGTACAGGGCAGCAGAGGAATGGGCCTGTGCATGTCCCCTGGTGCTTCCTGAGTCTCTTGCCGCACCGCGGGGCTAGTGTGCGCCTCCCCAGAGGTAGCTGGGATGGACCAGGAAACCAGCGTTTGGAGCCTGGAACTGCTGTTGGCCATCCTCGTGGGGGGAGGGGCTGGGCCTCAGAAGCAAATCCTAGACATGCACAGGACAGGCCTGGGAGGCCTGCTTGTCCTGCCTAGGTCGGGGATGTGTGTGTGTGTACACATGTGCATAGGGGACGCTGACATGACATCAAGTGTGCATCATGGTCACGTGTGTAACAAGTTTGTGTGTGTAACAAGTGCAAGCATGCATGTCTCTCCCCCACTCCTGGGTGGGTGGATGCCAACAGCCTGTGTCCTGCTTGTGTGGACAGGTGGCCGGCCTGTTTCATGATCCCAGCATCGGGAACCCCATTCATATCACCGTCGTGCGCCTGGTGCTGCTGGAGGAAGAAGAGGTGAGAGGTGACGCAGCTGCTCCAGCTCCCTGCCCCTCACGTATGGTGTGAGAGTACTCAGCAGGGCCCTTGCTCCTTGGCCGAGATGTTCTCCATCACCCACCCCATCCATCTCCTGGTCCTTGGCTGGCTGACTCCCCTCTCTGCTGCTGCTGCTTGGGTGTGGAGCCAGGAGCTGCCGGGACCCAGCCTGGCCATCTCGCGTCATGAGCAGTCATTGTCTCCGCCCCCAGGAGGATCTGAAGATCACACACCATGCAGACCACACCCTGAAGAGCTTCTGCAAGTGGCAGAAAAGCATCAACATGAAGGGGGACACGCACCCCCTGCACCATGACACTGCCATCCTGCTCACCAGGTACCAGTCACTGCCGAGCAGGGGGACATCCCAGGCACAGCAGACACAACCCTGCCCTCAAAAAGACTCGTGGTTTTTAGAGTATTAGAGAGAGGGATTCCATCTGCTGGCTGACTCCCCAAATGACTGCAATGGTTGTAGCTGGGCCAATCTGAAGCCAGGAGCTTCATCTGCGTCTTCCATGGGTACAGGAGCCCAGGCACTTGGGCCATCCACTGCTGTTTTCTCAGGAGCATTAGCAGGGAGCTGGAGGGGACGTGGGGCAGAGAGTGTCAGACAAGAGGAGGTCCTGCTGGTTCACTCGCCTAATAACCACAGTGGTTGGGGGAGCTGGAATACAACCTGGAAGCCAATGACATGAGGCATCACTGCTGCCTGCCAGGGCTGGCATGAATGGGCACTGGGCACTCTGATGTGGGCATCCTAAGGGGCATAGTAACACCAGGTGGAGTTAGTGTCCACCCTGCAGGGGCCTGGCAGCTTCTGGAAACAGTCTTTCTGGGAGAATAGCCGAAGTTTCCCATGCCCGGGTCTGCTCCCACACCCACAAAGGTGCCCCAGGCCGGCGGGGCACGGGTGTCCTCCCTGGCACTGGGCTAGGTCCACCAGAGGCTGCTTCTCTCTGTCCTTGCAGGAAGGACCTATGTGCGGCCATGAACCGGCCCTGCGAGACCCTGGGCCTGGCCCACGTGGCGGGAATGTGCCAGCCGCACCGCAGCTGCAACATCAATGAGGACACAGGCCTGCCACTGGCCTTCACCGTGGCCCACGAGCTCGGGCACAGGTACCACAGCTGCCCTTCTCAGGCACACTGCCAAACTCAGCCTTCCTCTCCCACCCTGGGCAGCCAGACACGTGGGCTGCAAAGCCCTGGGCAAGGGGACTGTCTCCGAGTGGCTCCTGCCCACGCAGTGCCCGGAGGGAGGGTTTGGCAGTCCCTGTCGTCACCATTGGTGATGGTCCACACCCACCCCTCTGCTCTGCCATCGTGGGCAGGTGCACTGCTCTCTCTGGGCCTCAGTGTGTGCCCCATGGATCAGGACACTCGGTTCAGCGTTGTCCAAGGTTCTCTCTAGCTGACATCTGCCTCTACTTGAGGCGGTAGTGTGTAAGCCCGGCCCTGGCACTTGGCCACCTGCACCCACACTGTTCAGTCTCTCTCACACTGTCCCCATGGGAGCAGGTTTCCAGAGAGTTCTGTCAGCCAGAGATGCTGGGCTCTTCCAAATTCAGACATTGGGGTGGGGGGGTCCCTCTGAAGGACAGAGAAACCTAATTCTGCCATTTCCTGGTTGTTACTCTGACTTGCTTTGGGGTTGGGAAAGGGAGAGAGAGAAAGCTGAGAGTCCTACATAATGGGTACTCATTTTTATTTCTTAAAAATTTTAGTATTTATTTATTTATTTAAAGTCAGATAGATATATATAGAAAGGAGGAGGGACAGAGAGAAATATCTTCCTTTTGATGATTCACTCCCAAAGTGACCGCAATGGCCGGCATTGTGCTGATCCGAAGCCAGGAGCCAGGAGCTTCTTCCAGGTCTGCCATGCAGGGGTGGGTTCCCAAGACTTTGGGCCGTCCTCAACTGCTTTCCCAGGCCACAAGCAGGGAGCTGGATGGGAAATGGAGCTGCTGGGATTCGAACCAGCACTCATATGGGATGCCGGCACGTTCAAGGGAGGACTTTAGCATTTAGGCAATGGCACTGGGCACTATTTCTTAAAAATTTTAAATAAGGCTAATTTTATTGGAAAGGCAGATTTACAGAGAAGAAACGGAGAGAAAGATGTTCCATCTGCTGATTCACTCCACAAATGACCACAGTGGTTGGAACTGAGCCAATCTGAAACCAGGAGCCAGGAGCTTTTTCCAGGTCTCCCACACAGGTGCAGGGTCCCAAGGCTTTGAGCCACCCTCCGCTGCCTTCCCAGACCACAAGCAGGGAACTGGATAGAAAGTAGAGCAGCCAGGACACGAACTGATGCCCATATGAGTTCCTGGCACCACAGGCAAATAATTAGCCAATTAAGCCATTGCGACAGCCCCCAAGATTTATTTTTGTTTGGAAGGCCAAGTTACGCAGAGAGAAGTAAAGACAGAGAGATAATCTTCTATTTGCTGACTCACTCCCCAGATGGCCACAACAGCTGGAGCTGGACTACACCAAAACCAGGAGCCAGGAGTTTCTTCTAGGTCTCCTGCAAGGGTGCAGGGGTTCAAGCACTGGGACTGTCTTCCACTGCTTCCCCAGGCTATAAGCAGGGAGCTGCATCCGAAGTGGACCGTCCAGGATATGAGCCAGAACCCATAGAGAATGCCAGCACTATAGGCAGAAGTTTAGCTTTAAATGCCATGCCATTGACCCCTACATGTTTATTTTTCTTGTGGGACCTTTTTGTGACACAGCCACTCAGCTCCCTTCTCTCAAGGTTATGACCCTGGGTTAAGGACCCCGGCCAGGGCCAGGCCACTGTTGGCACCAGAGAGCTGGTAGGGCGTGACGGGCCCTGCCAATGCCACCTGGCTGGCTGTTTTGGCCAGTCCAGCAGCAGTGTCCCTGGTCCATGGTTTCAAGCTGGGGCTGGTATACCTGGTAGGGCATCCCAGGGGACATGCCCCATCCCATCCCATCCCATCCCATCCCATCGCATCCCACATCATACACTAGGGACTCTGAGGCTCAAAGAGAGCAGGTGCATTTCTGAGGGTCATGTGGCCTTGCGGTGGCAGCCAACCCAGCCCTGGGAGTGAGGGGTGTGTCTCCTTCAGGCAGGTCCCCTCCGGGTGGGGCCAGGCTGGTGGCCTGGCGCTCCTTGGCTCACCCGCCCCTGGGGCCTGTGCTCTCACACAGTTTTGGCATTCAGCATGACGGCAGCGGCAATGACTGTGAGCCTGTTGGGAAACGGCCTTTCATCATGTCTCCACAGCTCCTGTACGACGCAGCGCCCCTCACCTGGTCCCGCTGCAGCCGCGAGTACATCACCAGGTTCCTCGAGTGAGTCCTGGGCTGGCATGGGTGCAGACGGGGACCCTGCGATGCTGGGGTGGATGCTGGGGTGGGGCAGGGGCGTCCTCCCACTTCCTGTAAGGAGCACCCACCTTGACCCTTGGGAGGAGGAGCTAGCGTTCACAGGTGCCTGGGGAGGATCGGACTGGCGCTTTTGGCAGAGGGGCCTAGGCTGGGGCCAGGAGCCTGGAACTGGGTGGCAGGGACCCAACACACGGGTTGTTTTCCATGGCTCACATACTAACCTTACGATAAAGGAGGCTGGCCCTGAGGCTGGAGGCTTAACCACTGTGCCACAGTGCCAACCCCAGAAGCGTCTTTCTTCTTTCATCCCATGTGGCTGACATTTTGATTGGACTGCAGCTTTTGGGTTAGAAATCTTACCCTTGAAGGTCAAAGACATTCTTCCACAGTCTTCTAAGTTGCCAACACCACAGCCGTTGAGAGAAAAGTCCCGTGTCATTCTGATTTCCAAGACTTTGAGCGTGACCTTCTAAAAAGTCCGAGAGTTTTTGGGATTCTTCCCTCCTCTTTTTTTTTTGGTGCTTTTGAGTTTTACAGCTATGAGCCTGGGCTATTTTTATTTTGTGGACACTCACTGGCTGCCTTTTATCTGGGAGCTCTTGTCCTCTGTCCAGTTCTTGGAACTGTCCTTGTATTGTTTATTTGGTCATTTTTTCTTTTCTATTTTCTTTTTTAGGAACCCTTACTATTCAGCTAGTTTTCACTTCCTTATTAGCTTTTTTTAAAAAAAAAGATTTATTTATTTTTTTATTGCAAAGTCAGATATACACAGAGGAGGAGAGACAGAGAGGAAGATCTTCCGTCCAATGATTCACTCCCCAAGTGACCGCAACGGCTGGTGCTGCACCGATCCCAAGCCAGGAACCACGAACCTCCTTCAGGTCTCCCACAAGGGTGCAGGGTCCCAATGCTTTGGGCTGTCCTCGACTGCTTTCCCAGGCCACAAGCAGGGAGCTGGATAGAAAGTGGAGCTTCCGGGATTAGAACCGGTGCCCATATGGGATCCCGGTGCATTCAAGTCTTTTAGCCGCTAGGCTATGGCACCGGGCCCCCTTTTCAGCTTTTTAAAATTATTATTTATTTTTATCTATCTGAATAGTAAAGGGGGATACAGAGAAAGACAGGAACAGAGAAAGGGAAAGAGAGGCTGCCGGCTCATTGGTGCACTCACCACATGGTGGCATGAGACAAGAACTTCATCCAGGAGGGTGGTAGGGACTCCCCCCCAGCCACTGCCTCTCCAGGTACGCCTTTGCAGGAAGCCAAAATCAGGAGCAGGGCCGGGACTCAAACCCAGGACCCTGGAGATGGTGTGTGGGTGTGCCAAGCAACACACTTACCCTCTGCCCCTGTTTCCTGAGATGCGTCCGATGTACATTTGTAACTTTTAGGTCTTTGTTGTTTCCTGGTGTACTTTTAATTACCCGATTTCATCATCCTGCTCTCATTTCACAGATACGATATCTTATCTCCCTGGGTTCATCACCTACATGGCTTTTCCTCTCCTTTGGGTTATTCGTTCTCCAAATTTATTTATTGATGTTTGAAAGGCAGAGTTACAGAGCGAGGAGACATAGAGAGGTCTTCCATCTGCTATTTCACCCCCCAAAATGGCCACAATGGTCTGAGCTGAGCCGCTACAAAGCCAGGAGTCAAGCATTCTTCTGGGTTTCCCTTGTGGGTGCAGGGGACGAAGGACCTGGGCCATCCTCTGCTGCTTTGCCAGGCACATTAGCAGGGAGCTGGATGGGAAGTGGAGTAGTTAGAATTCAAACTGGTGTCCATATAGGATGCTGGCATCATAGATGGAGGCTTATCCCACTATGCCATGGCACCTAGCCCCTGGGTTATTTTTTCTTTAAATTATTATTTTATTTTGATAATCTTTACATAGTTGATTAGGGCACAAAGGGTCAAGGGCTACCGGAAAGTGGATAAGACCATTGTGTCCACATTATTTTTTTGTTTTGTTTTGTTTTGTTTTGTTTTGTTTTCTGTATCCGGGGTAAGGGGAGATAAACGGGGAAGCCCCACCCAGCCTCCCACTCATCCCAGGATCCCCGACATGGGACATGATGCAGGGGTCCTGCTCAAGTGGTTTTGATAGTTCAACAGTTCTGAATTGCTGCCAATCTCGTGATTTCAAGCACAGGTGAAATCTCTCCAGTATCCACTGGCTGACATAGTCCACCTTAGAGTCTCTGTTTGCCCAGATTTTCACTGCCAACTCATGGCTGGTGTAGCTGATCGATTTATTCTGTCCTTTGTCCTCTGTTATGGTACCAGGTGTCCTCTGCAGGCTCCAACAGACTGCCATATCCTCCATGTGCACCTGGATATGCTGTCCACTGCTCTGTCTGAGCCACTGAGGAGGCTCAGCTTTGACACATACACCCCATAGTCAGACCATGCGAATTACACTTCTCTTCATGGTTGGGATTCTGAGATCAGCAGTTCAGTTGGAAGGATCCCCAAAGAAATTTAGTCTGAGGTGATTCCAGACCTGATTCTGGTGTGTGCATGCCAGTTTAGGGTCCGGCACAGTCCGCCGCCCCAATCAGCTTATGCATATGCTGGTGGTTGCAATTGCTGGGTCAGTTCTGCCTCCAGCCCTGTCTTCCACACGAACCAATGGGTATTGCAGTCCAGCCCGATCCTGCCAACCACACACTCGGCCCTCACGCAAACCAGTAGGAGCTGCAGCCTAGTCAGAGTGACCCACAATAACCCCTACCAGGCCTGCCCCCTGCCCTGGATCCCATGCTTGCCAGTATGTAGCACAGACTTGTTCAGTCTGTCCCACATTCCATTCAGCTCTCATACATGTCAATGGACATTGAAGCCTAGTTCAACCTAACCAGCCCCACTATCCAGCCCACAGATGCTGATGGGTGCCATTCTGTCTAGCCATGCCTGCCCCAGTCCTGGTTTTCATGCTCTCCAGTGGGAGTGGTAACCCAAGAGGGAAGAGTCCACTAATTTCCTACTGGACCCACTCCCACTCCCGGATTATGCACTCTCTAGGTGGTTATGCAGATTAACTTGACAGAATTAGCCCCCAGTGCCAGCATCTGCCAGCTGATGCTGCAGCAAAGCCCAACCAACCCTCACCCACTCTGATTTATGCTTACACCAGTAGGAACAGTCAGCCCAGCCTGGCTTTTGCCGATCTAGCTCACATGAGGCCCACAGGTGTTGTAGCCCTGCCCGATCTGGTCTGTCCCCATCCCAACTCTTGCTCTCCAGTGGGAATGGTGGTCCAATAGGGGACCCCTCCACATTCCCCCTACTAGCTTTGCACCACCCCCCGCCGGTTCTCACGTGTACTAGTTTGGTGCTGTGGCCCAGTCTAGCATGGCCCACCTCATCTTGGCATTTGTTTATTCTACTATGCCACAGCACCTACCCCCTGGGTTATTTTTATTTTTTAAAGCCTTTTTTTTTTTAAACTAAAAAAAAAAAAAAAGGCTTGCTCAAAGTGTTTTGGTCCTATCTCTATATGGAAGGAGACATCAGATGGCAGCTTGGGGTCTCGGGCCACCTCCGAGGGACTAGCTGCTTCCTGGAGATTCTCATATAGGCTGGAGGTTACATTTCTGCCAGATCCTGTTTTTCCCTGGACAGGAGCCCCTGGGTGTCCTCCCGTGAGAGCATTGTGGTGGCGTGTGGCATCCGGGCAGAGAAGGGGCTTGAACCTCCATCGTGGGTGCTTTTTCTCTGCCAGTGCCTTTGCCTGGAACCTGGCTTTCTTTAGCGGTTGCCCCCTGGCCACCCAGCCCCGGGAAGGACATCTGGAGCCTGATTGGGACTTAGAAACCTTTAGCCGGGCAGGAGTTCCAGGCCTTACCTGTCTCCTTGCGGTCTCTGGGAGCCCAGTTGCTGCATCTCCCTGAGCTCTGCTTCTGGAGGTAGCCTCTGCTTATAGCAGGGGCTGTCGGCTTTTAGCCCTCCCCAGCCTGAAATGTCTCATGGCCATCATCATCAACTCCCCCTTCCCTGTGATCCACGCTGTTTACACCTTGTTTGCCTCTTGGCTGTCATCCTGGTAGGGTGGCAGGGGGAGGTGGGGATGGCTCCAGAAGGAAGCTGATGTAATCCACCTGCTCATTGTGGGGTTTCCCAAGGGACAGGACTTGGTGCCCTCAGGGGTTCTGGCTGGAGAATGACTGTGGGCTAGGGAGTGGGACCTTGAAGCAGAGGAGAATTTCATTTGGCGATGACAGACGTGGCCCTGGGCCCAGGCTTTCACCCACACTGGCCGACCAAGTCCCTGGTCCCTCTGGGCCTGGGCCAGACGGGTGCTGATGATGGCACTGTCACACTGGTGTGCTGCCCGGATTGTTTAGCGCAGTCCCTGCCGGGGGGCAAGGCTATGATGGGGAGGCGGGGGAAGATAATGATTTCTGCTCTTGCCAAGTGCTCTGTTCTGTGGACTTGAACCAGAGAAGTGAGTGCCTGCAGGGAGGGAGGAGGGTGTGTGTTCTCCACCCCTGCCCCACCCTGCTCTGAGAAAGGGCAGAAGATGATGGAATGGTTGGCAGACCAAAAGTGGCCACCCCCACGGCACCCCAGGGCTTGTCACTGGCTGCTCCCACCCAGTGCTGCCCAACCCCTGGCTCCAGGACAGACTGACGTACAGACGGGTCTCTGTCTTCCTTCGGCCGCTGGAATGCATGAGGGGCTTGGCATAGGGCCTGGGGTGCGGGTGGGAGGAGAGATCGAGAGCCTCATGCTAGACAGAGCTGGGTGGAAACTGGAGGACCGAGAGCGGCTGGCAGGTTTGCCACCGCAGCCTGGGAGGTGGGGAAGGTATGCACAGGTGGGCAGAGTGGCACAGCAGTCGCCTTGCTGGGGGTAGCACAAGAGGTGGCCACCCAAACAGGGAAAGGACACACGCTCGGAGCTGGGGGCAACTGGCACCTGTGCCAGCTTTTACCCTATGACGGATTGTGGTAACAAGCGCTGCAGCACACGCCATGGGTGTTGGGATGTGGACGAGGCCACCCACCCCTTCCAGGCTCGCCTCTCTCTCAGCCAATTAGAAAGAGGATGCTGGGAGGGTGGGCGGGACCTGGGGAATGAGTGGAGTTTGGAGTCTGGGAAGTATGAGGTGGAAAGGAAGTGTCTGGCCCGATGGGGTGAGCTGGACACCTTGAAGTGCCTGGATCTGGGCTGAGAAGTGCTTCATGGGACCTTGGGGACAGATCCCAGCCTCTGCTGCACCAGGGGGCTGCTGGGAGGCCCTCCCAGCTGTGCTCTTGTAGCCAGGATCTCCACCTGACCTGGTGGGGTGCCTCACTCATGACCCCAGCATCCGGCGCCACCATGACCAGAGACTGGGAGCTGAGGGTAGTGGGCATGGTCTCCCTGGCAGATGGTGGGCAGCTGTTTGCAAGACGAGGTGAGACGGAGGCTTCCTGGGTCTGCTATTATTAGCACATGGAGGGCCTGAGGAGAAGGGAGGGGAGGGCTGGCGGCTCAGGATCCGGGATCCGGGTGCCGGCTGTGGGTTGCCTTGTGAGGAACCCGGTGGGGGCCCGACTGGAGGAAGGAAGGGCAGGCTGCCGTCGCCCCTGGGCTTTTCCCAAGTGGATGCTGCTATTTATACCTCTAGCTGGGGCTGGGCCTCCTGCAGATGTCGGATGTGATAGCCCAGAGAGAGTGAGTGAGGACCCAAGGCCACACAGCATCTGAGCCGGGTGCCCACCAGACAGCACCTGGGTTCCATGTGGCTCTGATTGCAGCCCGGTGGGGGCTGCCAGCTTCTCACGCCCCTGTGTGCACTCTTTGACGTCCACATCCACACACATGTTCACAGCCGTGCTCACACACCTACACTCCCATGTGTGCACTCTCCCCTGCCCCCATTCACACTCACGCGCATTCGCCGGCACTCAGTGTCACACTCAGAGGCTCAGTCATGGCCACATTCACATCCACACACTCCACACAGCCTCACGTGCTCACACACTCTTTCTGACTCCTTTGCCCTCCCACTGCTTCCCCAAGTCCTGTGATGTCCACCCCTACCTCTCCAGCAGAACCCAGGATCCATGTCTTCTGCCATCCTCCCTGGGCTCCCCAGGCCCCTGCTGGCCCCAGCCAAGGCTCGAGAGGCTTCCTGATGTCCAGCATGGACCTACTTGCCCACGGGCCTCCCAGAGGGAACAGCTGGGGGTTTCTACCTCCCTCCCCTGTGGGATCGGGGACTCCAGACCCTGCAGGCCCCACCTTCCTCTGCAGCTTCCAGCCTGTACTTGAGCCAGTTCCTGTCCATGGCCCAGTGTGCTGGCTTCCCTCCTCCCAGACCCCCTACTGCCCAGCTCACTCCCCTTGGAAGGCAGCACGTCCTGCCCCGGGCTGGTGTCTGGGTGCTATGCTCTCAGGACTTGGTGATGTCTTAGTTGCTGTCAGGAATGCTGGGCTGGAGGTGGCAGGAGACCACAGGGAGGGGTGCAGGGTGGCAAGGCAGGCATGCCCCTGGGAGAGGGCCCAGAGGTAACTCAAGGCCTGAGGTCCCCTGGCTTCAGGGTCACTGCCACAGATGCCAGCTCCCCACATCAGGACCCAATCCCCCTCCGTTCTCACCCTGGGGTGACAGGGAGAGTCCCCGAGGCCTCGCTGGTGGGTCTCACCAGGCCATGTACCTGCACCCCTTCACTCCATCCCCTTGTCCCTCCCTGCAGCCGTGGCTGGGGGCTGTGCCTGGATGACCCCCCATCCAAGGAGGTCATTGACTTTCCGGCCGTGCCGCCTGGCGTCCTGTATGACGTGAGCCACCAGTGTCGCCTCCAGTACGGGGCCTATTCTGCCTTCTGTGATGACATGGATGTGAGTCGGGCGGACGGCCCTGGCCTGCCTGGCCTACGGGGGTTGCTGGGAGACAGGGGAGCAGCCCTACATGGCAGGAGGCTTCCCACCTTCAGGGTTTTGCTGTCCTCCAGAGGAATTGAAAAGCATGCTGGGGGCACCAGGGGAGACACCCCAGGTTATGGCCATAAGCATGTCCGGGACCCTGGGACAGAGTCTTCCCAGAGGGCCGGCTGGGGCTGGGAGAAGCCTGGGCAGGTGGGCCGCTCTGGGCCTCCCGTCCAGGCCCACAAAGATCAGAGGGCACCTCTGGGGGGTCTTCATTTCTATACAACCATGCTCTGGGGACACTCTTGGGAACAGTGAGGGAAGAAAGGATGGGTGACAGCATCGGGACAGGTGGGAGGGGGTGTGGGGGGTGAGGCTGTGACCCTTGCCGCCTCCCCCAGAATGTGTGCCACACACTCTGGTGCTCCGTGGGGACCACCTGTCACTCCAAGCTGGACGCAGCGGTGGATGGCACCAGGTGTGGGGACAGCAAGGTAGGGGCCTGCACCAGCTGGGGGTGGAGGGGAGTGGTGGAGTGTCTGGGAGGGGCCCGCCCTGGCTGGGGGTGGAGGTAGGGGTGATGAAGTGCTGGTGAGGGGCCCACTCCATTTGAGGGTGAAGGTGAGAATGGTGGATGGGGGTGAGGGGCCTCACTTCTTGCTTAGCTATGGCTCTCTTTTGCTCTTGGCTGACCCCAGCTTCCCCTGGCCCATCTGCAAACTGGAAGCACTAGGCCAGGGCCAGTGTCCACACTCCCTAAGGCCTCTTCAGCTCCGGGTCAGCCCAGGGACTCCATTCTGTTCCTCCCTGGCCACTCACCTACCTCTGCCTTTGCATGTGGTCCCTCCCCCTCATTCTCACTAGCGTGAGGTTGACAGATAGGTGTGGCTGTGTCTCTGTCTGTCTCCGCAGTGGTGTCTCAATGGGGAGTGTGTCCCTGTGGGCTTCCAGCCCGAGGCTGTGGATGGCGGCTGGTCAGGCTGGAGTGCCTGGTCCGTCTGTTCGCGAAGCTGTGGTATAGGCGTTCAGAGTGCCGAGCGGCAGTGCACGCAGCCCACGTGAGTGTGGATTGGGTAGGATAGGGGCAGTCGGCCACAGCCAGTAGCTCACAGGTGTTATTATGTATTACAGCTGTGCCCAGAGGTTGGTAGGGTTGGGGGACATGTCTGGACCCCAGGGTAGGAGCGCACCCAGCAGAGATGGTGCCACGGACTCAGCCTGCCGTGCGTGGCTCTCTCCACAGGCCCAAGTACAAGGGCAAGTACTGCGTGGGAGAGCGCCGGCGCTTCCGCCTCTGCAACCCGCAGCCCTGCCCCCGCGGCCACCCCTCCTTCCGGCAGGTGCAGTGCAGCCGCTTCGACGCCATGCTCTATAAAGGCCAGCTACACACGTGGGTGCCTGTGGTCAATGACGGTGAGGCTCGGCACTGCCCCACCTCACCCCCAAGAGGGCTGGAGGGAGCGGTGGGGCAGGTGGGCCCGAGGAAACCCAGCCCTGGCTGCTCCTGACCTGTCTCCCTTACCTGGGCCCCCCAGTAAATCCTTGTGAACTGCACTGCCGACCAGCAAATGAATACTTCGCTGAGAAGCTGCGGGATGCCGTGGTGGATGGTACCCCCTGCTACCAGGGCCAGGCCAACCGGGACCTCTGCATCAACGGCATCTGCAAGGTGCGCCTGTTGGTCCTCAGCCCCACTGCCTCCTGAGGTGCACATTCCCACACCACCCCAACCCCTGCCTTCTGCCCAGGCAATGGCTGCAGCTCTAGGACTGGGGAAGCCGGGTAGGGACCTTCAGCGGTGGGAAGAAGCTTATTGCAGTCTTCCAGGTGACTCAGTGTCAGGTGACAAGACCTCTTCCCTGCTCATGGCCAAACCATCTGCTGTCCCTGGTCCTGCCAGGCCTTGTTGGGCTCAGACAGGAAGCAGCAAGAAAACACAAACCCCTGGGGGCTTTTGACATTGAATTCTGTGTCTGGACAACCCAGTGCACAGTGTGAGGTGGGGAGTAGAGGACTTGGAGGCAGCTCTGCTCATCTCAGATACCATCTCAGATCAACGCGCCTACCCGGAAGGGGTGGATTGAACAACTCATTTCATGCCTGGAGAACTCAAGCTCACTAGGGGTCAGATGTGGTAGCTGTGGTGGGTGGGACAGCCTCCTGGCAAGGCACTGCCCACTCCTGCATGCCCCCTGCCCACCCCATTGCAATGCACCCCAGTCCCCCTTAAAGGCAGCAGCAGTAGTAACAGGGGCTCCTCCCTGGCCCCATGTTGCAGAACGTGGGCTGTGACCTGGAGATCGACTCCGGCGCCGTGGAAGACCGCTGCGGCGTGTGCCATGGCAACGGCTCCACCTGCCACACCGTGAGCGGGACCTTCGAGGAGGCGGAGGGCCTGGGTATGCAGGCTTGGCTGTGTCTGCGTGAGCATGCACCTTCACCTGCAATTCTTTCCTCATCTCCCTCCTGCCCCTGCCCTCAGCTCCCACCCCAGGTTGGAGATTGTAAGGCAGGAGCCTGGCAGAGGTCATTGTACCTGGCTCAGGTGCAGGGACCTCTGCCCTGAGGGGAGTTCTCCCGACTCAGGTACCCTAAGCAAGGTGGCCTGACCTTCCAGTTTGCTGTTGGCCCAAGAAGCATCAGAGAACTCTGCCCCTGCTCCTCTCCCTTATTCAGTAAGGTCAGGGAGGGGGGCCTGTGCTGTTGCTTAAGTGCTGACCAGCCATGTGCTAGGTGATGGGCATGTGGCAGTGATGGAATCTGTTAGCCTGACAGGTGCAGTGGACCATGAGGGCACCGAAGGAGAAGGGCTTGGCCTGCGGAGGTCCGACTTCCCCTTGTAGGTGGAAACTGAGGTGAATCATAGAGGACTTGGAGGAGCCTGGAAAGGAGCACTCCAGACACAGGGGAGAAAGAGCTGGTGCTAAGCTAAAGCCGGCAAAGCGGGACTGGCCATGGGGGACTATGGATGCCAGGCAGGCTGGAAAGCTTAAACTGTATCCCAAGCTGCAAATGTGTAGTGAGGTGGCGGTCGCATGGAGCCCAGAGCCCGAGGCATAGTGCAACAGGAATGTCCTGTGAATAAATGCTGGGGCCTCACGGTGCCTGTTTCCTGTAAAGTGAGTGTCATGACATCCCCCATGTGTTTAGCACTCATCAGATGCTTAAAGGAGAAAGACAGGCCAGCTAGGGAGGATGGGGACTTCCCTATAAACCCAGGTTTGTGACAGTTGAGCACTTCGGTAATTTCGAGGTCAGCAAGCAGGGGCAGCTGGGAAGGGAGTGGGCAACAGCCACCCTCCTTCTCTCTTGGATATAAGCCATGCACATGTGACCCGGCCCCCTAGGCTATGTGGACGTCGGCATGATCCCAGCCGGTGCACGTGAGATCCGCATCCAGGAGGTGGCCGAAGCCGCCAACTTTCTGGCCCTGCGCAGTGAGGACCCCGACAAGTACTTCCTCAATGGCGGCTGGACCATCCAGTGGAATGGGGACTACGAGGTGGCTGGCGCCACCTTCACCTACGCTCGCACTGGCGACTGGGAGAACCTCACCTCCCCTGGCCCCACCCAGGAGCCTGTATGGATCCAGGTGCTGGGGGTAGGAGTGAGGACAGCTCCCCAGGACCCAGCTCCCACCTAGTGTGTGCACTCACAGCCCCACCTACTGCCCCCCAGTTGCTATTTCAGGAGAGTAATCCCGGTGTGCGCTACGAGTACACCATCCACAGGGAGGCGACCGACCATGGCCAGGTGCAGCCGCCTGAGTTCTCCTGGCAGTACAGGCCCTGGAGCAAGTGCACGGTCACCTGTGGCACAGGTGAGAGGAGGAACAGGCCTACCTGGTTGCTGGTTGCTGCTTGCCGCCTGGGCTTGGCATCTGAGCAGGGACTGCCATTTTGGCTTTGATGTTCACCTGCTGGACCACCGAGGGGTTGGCACCTTAATCTCTTGGAGCCACAGTCTGCCCCTGCTGTCCCTCCGCCTATCGCCTGTCCATCCATCCGTCCTTTGTCCCTTTGTTACCCCCTTGGTCTCACATGGTCTCTTCCCACCCCTCCATCTCTCTGTCCCTCATCTTCTCATCTTTGGCCCTCAGGATCAGAAATCTGAGCCAAAGAGGCCTTGAACCCTCCATGAAAGTACCATTGGGAAGACCAGGTCAAGGCTTATGGCTGAGACTTGGCAAAATCTTGAAAAGCCATCAGAGCCATCCTCTGCAGTGCAGTGACTCAATCCCTGGGCATGGGGAACCTTGCCACTTTGTAGGTGGCCCACTGGGAGTGTGCCAGGCAGCAGGCACCTGAGTCCTGACCCACGGTGGCTGGAATGGATAAGGGAATGAGAAGCCCTAGGGTGCACAGTGCAAACCAGGGGCCTGCCATGCTAATGGGGGACCTGTCCATCATCCTCCAACCTCACCCCCAGGCCTCTTGCTGTGTATGACACAGAAGAAGGGGCTGAGGGCCTTGGGCCTTTTTCTCCCCATCCAGGCTGTGTTCCAGGCCCTACTAGTGCCTGGGGAGTTGGCAGTAAGTCCTCCTGCTACCCTTGAACAAAATTAGGTTTTAGGACTGCCAGTGGCCAGGGTGTGAGTGTCCCCAGTGAAGGGCACAGATGTGCAAAGGTCCTGGGATGAGCAGTGGCAGAGAGGGTGACCGATAGGACAGGGCCAGGGTGAGCCTGGTGTGGAAGAGTCAAGCTGCAGACACCTCTGAGGCTGCTGCTGGGAGGGGTGTGGGCCAGGGGCTCACAGTGTGGATGGATTTGCCCACCAGCAGCAGCTGGCACCTTCTACTGGTCCATAGCCACCTACTGTCCTCACATTAAGGTCTTTCAGACAGGTCTTAGGCTTGTTCCCATTTTACAGATGAGGACACTGAGGGTCAGAGAGGCCAAGTGAGCTGCCAAGTCCTGTCAGTGAGGACTCTGTGGGTCTGGGCATCCACCCCATTAGACCTACACACTCGGTGTCTTGGGAGGTCGGGGTGAAGAGCTGGAGGCCCGCAAGGAGGAGGCGGTGGGGAGTCCTCTCTTCCTCTTTCCCCAGGCAGGGAGAGGCCACTGTTATGGGTTGATTCTGGGTGGAGAGGGTGTGGTCTTGTCTTTGGGTGCTGAGGCTGAGCCCCCTGGGGCCTGCAGGTGTACAGAGGCAGAGCGTGTACTGCATGGAGCGACAAGCAGGGCCTGTGGATGAGGGACACTGTGATGCCCTGGCCAGGCCCGATGACCGTCAGAGGAAGTGCAGCGAGGAGCCCTGCCCTGCCAGGTGAGCACCCCCCCTGCTGTCCCCACCAGTTGTCCTGGGCCTACTGCAGGAGAGCAGGGTACTCTGGGAAGGAGTGAAGGGACTAACAGCTTGTTTTCCAAGGTCAAAGTTACCCCCTGGGACAGCCAATGCTAGCCTGACCACCTCTATCCTTCTCTGGACTCTTGAATGTGCAAATAAGCTGTAGTCTGGCCCAGGTCCCCTAGGGGTGTTTGTCACTCTGGGCTGACTCTCCATCTCTGCTGGAAGCCTATTGGTAGCCCCTGTCTGACAGGCCTCCCCACTCTGTGTGCCCCTGGCAGGTGGTGGGCAGGTGAGTGGCAGCTCTGCTCCAGCTCCTGTGGGCCACGGGGCCTCTCCCGTCGGGCTGTGCTGTGCATCCGCAGCGTGGGGCTCGACGAGCAGAGAGCCCTGGAGGCGCCCGCCTGTGCGCACCTGCCCCGGCCGCCTGCCGAAGCCCCGTGTAACCGCCACGTGCCCTGTCCAGCCACCTGGGCCGTGGGGAATTGGTCTCAGGTGTGTGTTGGGGTGGGTAGGTTGGGGTGGGTAGGAGGGAGACGATCTCCCCACAGCACCCTCAGGGGTCTCGGGAGCCCAGGGAGGTGGGCAGCTTTTGTGGGAGTCCCTTAGTGCTTGGTGCTGAGGGTACTAGTTCCTTCTCCCTCCTTGCCCCTCCAGCCCAAAGCTTCAGGGTTTAGAGTGCCGTCTGGCAAGATATGGCCACAGCCACGACTTTGAACTGGACAGGGCCAGTGGAGGCCTCTGCTGTTAGCCCAGCAGGTTCCTACCCTGCCCTCCGCAGGCTGATCCCCTCATCCCGGCTTTCTTTGTAGTGCTCAGTGACATGCGGGGTTGGCACACGGCACCGAAGCATCCTCTGCACCAATGACACCGGCGTGCCCTGTGAGGAGGCCCAGCGGCCAGCCATAGAGGCCCTGTGTCCCCTGGCCCCATGCCCGTCACGACCCCTGGACCCGCTGGGGGGACCTGAGGGCTCAGGCAGTGGTTCCTCCAGCCCTGAGCTCTACAATGAGGTGGATTTTGTGCCGCGCCCACCAGCCCCCCGACCACCCTCCCCGACACCACCCTCCCCAGCACCACCCAGCATGGGCAATGCCATCACTGAGGAGGAGGAAGAGGAGCCGCCAGGGCCTGTGTTCGTGGATGACTTCTACTATGATTACAACTTCATTAACTTCCATGAGGACCTCTCCTACAGGCCCTTCAGGGACCCCAGCCCAGACCCAATAGGCGCGATGGGGGAGCCGTCATCCACACCCCCCACTGGCACTCCTGTGCCTGCCACACAGCTTCCTGGGGTGGGGGAGCAAGGGACACTGGAAACCCAGTCATCCCACCCCCCACCCAGCCACACTGGTCACTCCCCAGGGCCCACCACAGAGCCGGCCCCTGGAAGCCCCTGGGCCACTACCACATCTGAGGACAATGCCCCAGACCTGGGGCTCCCCAGCCGGCCCTGGCCCCCTGCCTCGGTGGATGGCACTGAGACACCTGCTGTTCCCAGGAACCCCAACGACCTCATAGTGGAGGGCGACAGCCAGAACCAGCTGCCCCCCACACGCTGGGGCAAGACCCACAAGGTTTCCGTGGATGAGACAGAGATGACTAGCCACGGAATCCCACACCTGTTCCAGGACCCTGGCCCCACACTACCTCCTCTGGCCCCAGCTGGTTCTGCCCCCTCCTCTCCTAGTCCTGGTCTGCCCTGGACAGAAGGCACTGTGGCCTGGGGGCCTGCTCTGGACGGTGGTGGCCTGGGACCCACTGTGGGGGCGTTTCCTCCTCCACCTGCCCCTGTGGCCACCCATTCTGGGATCTGGGGCAGCTTCCAGGGGCCAGGGATGCCTACCTCTGCCGCTGCTGGGCTTGGTTCTGAGGACCTGCAGACGATGGCAGTGCCCACGGACCTGAGCAACCTCGAGCATACACCCTGGGGGGCTGTCCTGAGCCTGGGACCCTCCCCTCACCCCGAGGTATCTCTGAGCTCTGAAGCCACACCAGCTTGGGACATCCTGGTCAATACCAGCAGAGGGAACGCCAGCTGGCAAGTGGGAAACTGGAGCCAGGCAAGTGGTGTGGGCTCAGTGAGGGGGCTGGGCATATAGGCGGGGCCTCTGGTTCCCATCTGAGTGGTGAGGGGCTGGGGTGGGCTGAGGGCTCCCGATGGGTAGCTGTGCCAGATGGCCCACTCACTGGATTGATTTCTCTTAGGGGGTCCTTGGGGGGAGGGGCGATGTGGATGAGTCCATTTTATATATAGGAAATTGGGGTCCCAGTTTCATGGTGTGGCAGCTGCCAGACTGTATGGGGTGGACTAGGGGCAACCTGCCCAACCCTCACAGGTCTCTGCCCCCGCCCCCAGTGCTCTACCACCTGCGGGCTGGGTGCCTCCTGGAGGCCTGTGCGCTGTAGCTCTGGCCGGGACGAAGACTGTGCTCGTACCGGGCGGCCCCAGCCCGCACGCCGATGCCACCTGCGGCCCTGTGCTGCCTGGCACAGCGGCAACTGGAGTAAGGTGTGTGCCCTCCTAGCAGGGGCAGGGGAGGACTCACTCAGCAAGGCTTTAGAACAATTTTGATCTTATACATAGTCCGGAGGCAAATTGCATGCTCTGTGTCTTCGGGGACTTAGGCTTCTGTGTTGGTGTCTGATCCTAATAGAACCAGAGGGACAGTGGCCCTGGTCCCCGTCACTCCTGTCCCTCTCCTGGCTCTTACTCCACCACCTGTCCTCTTCTCTCTGCTTCCCCACCTGCTATTGCCTCTCCCCTCTGCACCTGTTCCTGGCTCATGCTGGAATGCTTCCCTTCCTTCCACCCCCACCCTCAACCCCAGGGGCTGGGTCTTCCACAGTAGGGGTGTTTGTGTGTGTGTGTGGTATTGGTGAGACATGAGAGAGTCTACACATGTGCCCCTCGGTTCCCAGTGCTCCCGCAGCTGCGGTGGGGGATTCTCTGTGCGGGACGTGCAGTGTGTGGACACGCGGGACCTCCGGCCGCTGCGGCCCTTCCACTGCCAGCCTGGACCCACCAAGCCAGCCGCTCGCCAGCCCTGTGCCACCCAGCCCTGCCTCAGCTGGTATACATCCTCCTGGAGGGAGGTGAGGCCTAGGGGGCTTTTGGGATGTGGGAAGGGGCAGCCTCAGACCCTGCCAGAGCCCTGACCACCTCCTCCACCTGCCCCGGCACCCCTTTGCCTTCCCAGTGCTCCGAGGCCTGTGGCGGAGGTGAACAGCAGCGCCTGGTGACCTGCCCAGAGCCAGGCCTCTGTGAGGAAGCACTGAGGCCCAACGCCACACGGCCTTGCAACACCCAGCCCTGCACACAGTGGGTGGTGGGCCCCTGGGGCCAGGTGAGCAGCCGGTGAAGTGACAGCAGTGGGAGGAGCTGTGCACCTTACCCCATCCTATTCCTCCAGCTTTCAGACACCGCCAAGGGCAGGCAAAGGGTCTGTCCCTGCCGGGGAGAGTGGTCTGGGGTCTGGAGGAGGAGGAGCCAGGGAACCAAGAAGATGGATGGAGGCCCCTTGGCAAGAACCACAAATGTGGGGGGAGGGGTCAGTGCAGAAGCAGGGACTGTAAGAGGGGTTCTAGAGGCATGCCCTGGAGTCAGCTGGGCTGGGTAGACTCAGCCAGGCCGCACGGTGAGGGGCACAGGGCAGGACACAGGGTGGCAACCACTGAACTAGCTTCTCCAGCTTTGCACAACAGACCCCAGCTGGTGGGCAGGAGGGTGGCATTGGCTCAGAAGTCCTGGGCCTCTCCCGTGTTGTCCCCAAGCTACGGCAGCACCTCTGCCCTCATCTTTCAGGCATGACTGCTCCCAAGTGGCTGAGCCATTGGGCTCCCCAAAAGCTAGGAGTTTCCCAGCCCGAGTAGGAGCAGAGCCTGCAGTGGGGTTTGTGTGTGTTTGTACGGACACAACAAGGAGGCCCTGGGAAGGAATGGAACCACAGGAGCCAGCTCCATAGACAACCTCCATCCCCACCTCCGTGCAGTGCTCAGCCCCCTGCGGCGGCGGTGTCCAGCGACGCCTGGTCAGGTGCGTCAACACTCGGACGGGGCTGCCCGAGGAAGACAGTGACCAGTGCAGCCACGAGGCCTGGCCTGAGAGCTCCCGGCCCTGTGGCACCGAGGACTGTGAGCTCATTGAACCTCCACGTGAGTTGGCACCCATGGCAGTGCACAGGGTTCGGGGCATGGAAATGGTCACACCATGGCCCGCTGTACCACTGCAAGGCAGGCTTGGGAGTCCCAGGGATGCCGGGGTTGTAGGGTGCCAGGCAGAAGCAGGACTGGGGCAGGGGGAACAGTGCAGGATCAAAGCTGGGGAATCCCAGCCCTGCAGGTGTCCTGTGGGCAGCTGCTTGGGCAGTGGAGACAGAGGTCTAAGATCTCAGCAGGGGGTCAATCCCCTCAGCAGTGGGGAACTGGGATGGAGGGCACCCTGCTGCTGCTGCTAGAGTTTGCCCCTGGGGAACCCCAGCTCCAGCTCTGGCCTGGCCCCAGGAAGGGCCACGCCCCCAGCACATGACTTTCTGGCCAACTGGGTCCTCTTGGTGTAAGGGCCTGAGCCAGATGCCTCCCCCGCCCTGCCTGCCCCATGCACACACTTCCTTTCTGCAGCCCCAGCTGCCTTGGCACAGGAAGCTGAGCGGCCCTAGAGTCACACCTGGACCCTCACCAATGGTGGCCCTGGGTTCCACTTCTGTCCCCAAGCCCTCATGTCTTCCAACATATGGGGGCTGGCAAACCCAGCCTTGGCATAGGTGGGTTCTATGGGCAAAGCATCTGGCACTGCCAGGGTAGCCAAGAGCCCCTCAGACAGTGCCCATTTGGAGGCCAAGGTCAGGGGTGGGGTCCAGGGCTGCCTGGGTCAGCACTGGTTGCTCCCTGCCCCAAGGACAGAGGTTGTAACTGCCAGGCATGTGGTCGGGGTGTCCAGGGACTGGCTCTGGTCCCCCTGGTTTCAGACAGCCTTATCTGCAGTGGCTGGCACCCAGCAAGGGCAGCTTGTATTCCTGCCACATTGCCCAAGCACAGCCTTCCCTGTCTCAAATCCCACACACCTGAGGCCAGTGGGAGCACTGCCAACCTGCTGCTGCCTGTCCTGGGCAACTCTGCAGCCACAGTCCCCTAGGGCTCCTAGGCAGGGCAGGAGCTGGGAGCTGGCATTGCATTCTCAAGGCTAACAGGCACTTGGGGGCAGGTGGTGGGCAGTTTGCAATTCCAGATGGCAAAGACTTGTCCAGGAAGACAGAAGGAATGTGGGCCCAGAAGCAAGGAAGGCCTAGCCCAGGAGGCCATGGGTTTGGAAGGGACATGGTGGACAGCTAGAGACCCTGGAATTCTCGGGATATTAGGAAGGTTCCCAGAACTGAGATAGGACATTCAGGAAGCCAGGAAACTCCAGGGCGTACAGTTCCTGCAGCCAGACAGCTCCTGTAGCCGGGGGACATCTGCTCGCCAACAGGACCATCCTACAGGCCCTGAGCAGGGGTAGAGGCACTGCCTGCCCTGAGGCCCTCAGCTCGGCAGGGGATGTCCCAGGCCTGGAGCAGCTGTGGTCCTCTGGGCCCTTCCCCTTCCCGACTACAGCAGCTGGAGGCTGTCAGCAGCAGCAGCCCCAGGATCAAGGCCAGGAGGCTGGAGGCAAGGCACTTCCCAAAATAGCTCCGGTCACCCAGGCCCGCTAAGCAGCATGTAGCCGCCCTCCCTCCCCAGGGCTCTGGTGCTCAGCCCCTGGTTTCTGCCGAGGCCCTGCCTGCACTGGTGTCCTAGGAGGGTCTACTGGGACTATGGGGCGAGGTTAGAAGCACAGGCAGGCAGATGGGTTCTGACTTGCCCGCAGGCTGTGAGCGGGACCGTCTGTCCTTTGGTTTCTGTGAGACCCTGCGCCTGCTGGGTCGCTGTCAGCTACCCACCATCCGCGCTCAGTGCTGCCGCTCGTGTCCTCCCACCGGCCGTGGTGTCCCTTCCCGAGGCCATCAGCGGGTGGCTCGCCGCTGACCTGCACCAGGGGGATACAGTCCAATGAAGACAATGATGATGACACCGCTCAGACCTCAGCGCCCCACCATGGCTGCGGCGGCCCCGCCTCCACGCCCCAATGGTGCTAACCCCGCCCCGTGAGCAGGCTGGGGACCTCCCCCTCCCAGAGAAAGGGTATTTTTTTTTTTATCCTAGCCGTTTGTGTAACAGTTACAATTTTACATAAATCAGCACCTAACATCCCCAAAGCTCTGACTGGCCTCTTCTTGGGTCTATCTGGGAGACCTGCCATGTTATCCCTGGTCACTCCCCTGTTGTGTGGGGATTGAGTCAGACACCCCCTGCCCCCATTGCCACAGCAAAGCCCATGTGGTCACTGCTGGGACTATCCCCACTCTACACAGGTCTCAGTCCCCCGTGTTGTACTCATCAGCTCTTTCCTAGGTTGCCCCCACCTGACCCTTCTATCTCCTTGCTGCTCAGGGATGGGCTGTGAGCGTGGCCCCTTCTCCACGGCCACCCACTTCCCCATCACAAAATCCAGTGCCAGTGGACTTGACCTTGTGCCCACGAAGCTTTGAAGAGTGTCCCTGGTACTGGCCACCTCCCAGCCCAGCCTGCCCTCCTCACCCCAACTATGAGGCCTTGGGTTTAGTCCCTTCTGAAATCCCCGCTCCGGGGCTGCAATGTGTCTTGTCTTTTCTCCGGGACACACTCAGGTTGAGAGAAGTCCTCTGCCTTCTATTATGGACCCTCTGGGCTGGGGGCCAGGATGGGATGGGCACCGAGACTGGGGGGAGATGAGGCCAAGAATGGCACCTGTGTACCCATGGGCCCCCAGGGCAGTCACTCAAGGGCTTGCCCTGCCTGATAAGAGGGCCTGGGCAGGCCCTGCAGGGCTTGTGTGAGGGCTAGGGCAGAGCAACAGGCAGCTTCCCGTCTGTGGCAATCAGGCTGGCCCAAGTAGGCCCTGGGGACCTGCTGCTCTCTGAGTAATGGCTTCCCAGGGCTTAGTCCAGACTGTCCCAAGCCAAGACCCCCTCTCAAGGTCAAGGGGTCTCCTGACCTACATGTGGTGGGGCAGACATAGTGGCAGAGCCCTGGGGTCCCTATCCCAGTTATCCTTCATCCCCACTGCCCCCAGGGTTTGGCCTGCCCTGTCTGGGGTTCCACACTAGAGTTGGCTTCGCCAATGCCCCCCCCCCGCCCCCTTTCCCACAACAAGACATTTGGTCTTAATCATCCCTGTTTTTCCAGTGACTGCCGGGGGTGTCCCCACTGGCAGCCAGGCCTGGGCTGTCAGTTCCAGACAGGAGGCAAACAGCTCATGACTCAGGACAAGCCTGGCCCAGGGGCAGAGGGAGGGGTGCCAGCTCTGCACACCGGCCTCTACCTGCAGCCTGGCCACATTCCCCTCCCCACTACCACTCAGGCTGCCATAGCAACCCCCTGCATCCCAGGGCAGGGACACTCATGGGCCCTGTCCCACACCCCAAACCCTCAGGACCCATGGCATTTCAAGGCTCCAGCATCCTACAAATTAGTATTTTATTCTCCCTGTGGGGCACAGCAATTCCAGGATAACCGCTGTAGAAAAGGACAGAGTCAACTTGGCGGTCCCCCAATTTCCCATCCTAGGCAACATACAGGGGGCCTGCACCCCGCCTGCCCCAGCGCTAGTGGCAGGCTAAGGACAGTGTTCTGCAGGCCATGGGGGTGCAGTGACACAGACATTTGGCTGACAAACCAGACCTGGGCTTTCCCAAGTGAGATTTCCTCTGCCCACACAATGCAGAGGACACCAGAATCACTTCCAGCAGCTGCAGCTTCGTCCAGCACACCCCCACCCCACCCCCGCCCAAGGCCACCTGGGGTGAGCAGGGGCCTCCGGGCAGCTTGCGGGAAATGCTGGTGCAGGGTGGGGCGCCAGCAGAGGCCCCGGTCACGCAAACACACACGATAAGGACTTGTTATATAAAATAGATGTGCAGGATCTAGAAAAACCTTGATAAAATAGTCTATAAAAATAGAAACTGTAGTGAAAATATACATGAGTAAAAACAGGGTAGAGGCGGGAGCTGGCAGGGGCCCCCGCTGGCCAGCATGGGCACAGGACACATGGGGTGGGGTTCTCTGCCCCCCCACTCCACAGGGCCCACACTGGTAGTGGCACAGGCTGGGTGACAGGAGGAGTGGCCCAGCCAAGAGCTCCCTCTGCCGGCGCAGCCTGGAAGGCCCACCCAGGACAGGTGCCAGACAATTCCAGGGCCTGGGGGGCCGGAGCTGTCTCACGCCTATGGCCCGGAAACACGCATATGGTGGCCACTTGGGCAAGGGTGGAAGTGGCTCTGCTCTCAGCATCCCCACCAAGGGCTAGTCCACCTTTCCAGGCCAAGTGGCCCCCCTTCAGGGTCCTGCAAATAGCAGGTGGTACCAGTCTTGCCCATGGGGAGATCATCTCGGGAACAGAGCTGAGGGTGGCTGGCCCTGACCCCTTCTTTTGTGGTATCCCCAGGCTGAGAGCCACAGTGTCATTACACGCGGGACAGGAGGCAACCAGGTTCTTGGTGTTTTGTCCTAGCTGCCCAGAAACAGCAGTGAGATGGCCAGGCCCAGCTCTCAGAGACATTTCTGGAAATCAGGCTTCAGCGGGCAGTTTCCAGAGACAAAGGCAAGGGGAAAGCCCGCTGTGCATGCCAGGAGGGGCCGCGGCTTTGGCTCATCACAGGGAGTGGCTCCCTCTATTTGGCAAAAGTAAGGCAAGTGTGGACGGACAGGCGGATGGACAGATGTGTGGGTGCAGCTCACAGCAACCAGCCACCCAAGATGCCAGGTGGCTCCTCAGTTCAAGGGTCAAGGTGGTCCCCAGGTCAGGCAGATGCCCTCACCTAACACCTCCTGGAGGCCCAGAGGCCACCAGTTTGTCCTGACATGTCATGGGCAGCAGAGACATGGTGGAGTTGCGTCCGCTCCGGTGAAGCAGTCGAGGCTGCTGGGTGCCCGCAAGGCTTCACTGTGCAGTGTAGGCCTCACTGGACTGCAGGGCCCCCCACCGGGACTAGCACCAGGGGGCTGCTTTGTGGTTTGCTGGCCCCGCTGGTCCACATCCACACTAGGGGAATGGCCTCTCACAGACTGCCCAGCTGAGAAGAGCCGGACACAGGCAGGCAGGTGAGGCAGTCCAGCCTGGACTGTGCTGAGCAGAGTCCAGTGAGGGGACGTGGCTGGTGGCAAGGAGGTTCTCCTCCAAGGGCAGTCCCACACCACCAGCAACAGCCATGCCAATCGGCATGCCTGGTGCTCCAAGGCAGACTCGGGAGATCTGGAAGGGTTGGGGTGAACACCAGCATGGCTGATGCATACTGTCAATAGGCACTCACTGCCAGCCTGCTGGGTGGTGCCAAGGGCTCACGGCACAGGTCAAGCATGCCCATGTCCCCGGGGAGGTAGCTGTGAGCGAGGACGTCTGCCCAGCAGATGCCCAGCGGCTGCAGCTGCTCCATCATCAGTCCTGGCTTTGAGCAAACTGGGTCCCTGCTGCAGGTGCACTCAGGCCGTGCAGGGAGGCAAGTGACAGCATCTTGGTGTGGGTGGTGGGGCAGGGTGCTCAGGTGTCCTCCTCCTCGTCGCTGACCAGCTCGCCCTTGTCAGGACTGCTGTCCCGCTCACGCAGGAAGTCCTCGCGGATGGCCTCCAGCTCCGTCAGCTCCAGCCGCACCTTCTCCAGGTGGCAGGCTCGCCGGTTCCGGATCTGGCGCAGCGGGAAGGGGTTCAGGTCCCCAAAGGAGATGCCGATGAGCTTCCTGGAGCAGAGACATGGGTCTAGGTTTGGGCTTGAGGCACGCACTTGACACAGCCTCCCCGTCAGCAAGGCTCACACAACGGCTGGGTGACCGCAGGAGTTGGTCAATCCCTTCATGGCTTCTGACTGCTGACCAGCATGCTGGGAACGTGGGAGACACCTGCCAGGGTGTCAGTGAGTGGGTCTTCAGGGCTAGTGTGGGGCTTAGCACTGCAGTGACCAGCACACCCAGGTGGCAATGCAGCCAGGGTTGGGTTGTGGACTCCAGAGAGACAGGTAGCTGTTCAACAGCAGAAGCTCCGAAGGTGGCCCTAGCGCCGTGGCTTACCAGACACAGAACTGCATACTGCCCAGGCCAGCCGCCCTGCCTCCCAGGACATTTAACACGGAAAAGCCAGCTGGAGTGGGACTAGGGCCCAGAGGTTTACTTCCAAACACCAGGGGCTCATTCCCCACCTTCAGCCAGAGATGCACAGAGCTGGCAGCCCTGGGCCAGGTGGAGGCAGGCCTGTGGTGAGGCCTTCCCATGCCCCACTGTCCCTTTAAGAGGCGGTGCCTATGGGCACAGGCATCTGTCCCTCCTGTATTCCAGACATCTCCCCCTACAAGGGAGTGAAAGGTCAGGAGGCCTGGCTTTGCTTCAATGCCAAATCACCTGAGTGAGTGCTGGAACCTGGGACGCAGGAATCCTACATGGGGACTTGCTGAGTCCTGCGGGGCTAGGTGGGTGCCTCCGGGCAAGGAAACACAGGCTTGGGACCAAGCACCTGTGGTGTCCACCCCCTTTGCCCATTACAGTCAGAAATGCTGAGACTGGGAGCAGAGGACCTCAGAGGCTGCCCTGCCTTGGCTAAGGGGAGGCCACAATGCTCAGGGCCCTCCATGCCACCAGACGTCCTGCTGCAGTTGGGGACACAGAACCCCTTCTCTCTCCTGTGGATCATTCACTGTGGGAGGTCTGTCAGGGAACCACTATCCAGGGGGCCCAGGAGTGGGTCAGAGCCACTGGCTTTAGCTAGACAGTAGCGGCCACAGGATGGCACTGTCTAGCTAAAGCCAATTGCAGGGAACCTGTACCCACAAGGTGGCACTGTGGGACCATGCCTGGTCACAGCAGGGACTAGCAGGCTACGGAGCCAGCCAGGGACAGCTGTGAGAGGCCGTCTGATGTCATTCCTGGTGATCCTCAGCCAGCCAGACAAAGTCTCCAGGGCTCACTCCCATACTGGGAATCGATCCTTCACTAGCAAACGTCCTCAGATGGCCTCTTTCTCACTGGGTAACAATCAGGC